TTCCGACCCATAGCGACCCTGTACAGGGTTTCCGAGGGTGTAAATCTTTACAGGAGTAGAAAGCCTCATCTTTCTCCCGCGGAGCGGCTGGTAGTTTCAAACCGCTGACCTTAAGGTTCGCAGCCCGATTTGTAACCACTACGCTACCAGAGCTCCTTACCAGACTCATCTAGACAAGATGAAAACTATTCAGTGGAGATTCTATCATTCTCCTCTCGCTCTGAAACTAAATTCACGCTTGAAAACTTGTAAGCTAGCCACTTTATGCCTTATAACCACTCCCCCACCCCACCCCCATTTTAGGTAGCCAATGTCTGAGTTGCCTGCCCCTATCAACCCTTTGTACTGAGTGGATAGACTTGATCCTTGATGTGAAGACTCCTCCTCTCTCAGTTGGTATTTTGAGCAATTACTTCCATAAGCAAAGGTCAAGTTCATCAAATGGTAGCAATTTACACTTGCTTCCTGTATCAGACTTCTTTAACTTCCTCTAGTAGAGTTCTGATCCTCACGCCACCCAAGCTGGGTCAAGCAATAGCTTTTTATACATTGTTCTGCACATTTACATAACAGTGTTTCTGGAAGGCTTCCATATAATTCATAAGTGCTACCTTATTACTTAAGGAGCTCTGGTAGTGTAGTGGTTATGAGTTGGGCTGCTAACCTCAGGGTCAGCAGTTTGAAACTACCAGCATTTCTGCAAGAGAAAGATGAGGCTTTCTCATCCCGTAAAGAGTTACAGCCTCAGAGACCCTATACAGGGTCGCTATGAGTCGGAACTGACTCCACGGCATACCACTACCACCTTACTCCTTACAAAAGGATCCCTGCTGACTGAAAGGTTGGTTGTTGAACCCAGCAGCTGCTCTACAGGGAAAGATTTAACAACCACAGAAAGACTATGGAGCGGCTATACTCTGTTCTTTAGGGTTGTTATGAGTCAGAATTGACTCAATGGCAATGGCTGTTTCTTTTTTGTCGTGCTAGGTGAGCCACTGAATGGACCGTTTATAATGTCGTCTAGCCAGTTCACTACCTTTGGGCATCTTCTCTTGTTCCAAACAATGCTTAGGAAATAACCATGAACTTGCATCCTGTTGCACGTGTATAAGTATGCAAAGTGCAAAAAAGTTCTGGTACCAACCATCCCTCCCACAGCATTCTTTACTCAACTGGTTTCCAGAATTCACTGCAGTGGCCACATAGAACTCAGGCACCGTATTCACAGTTTTAGGGTTTATTAGGGAAGTTGTTTGTTGTTAGGTGCCATCGAGTTGTTCCCAACTCACGGTGACCCTATGCACAACAGAACAAAATACTGCCTGTCCTGTGCCATCCTCACAGATGTTACACGTTTGATCCCATTACTGCATTCACTGTGTTAATTAGGGAAGTTGACAGGTACAGTTCAGGGTCAGAAATGCTCAAGGCACAGCTGTTCCAATTGGGACAACCTCTCTTCAGCCATATCCACAGGTAGGCTTCTTTCTGCCTGCCAGTGTTGCAGAGCTCTTTTAGGGCTGTTGATAAATGCCCACAGGACACCCCGCCCCGCCATAAGCCTCAGCCTGAAGGCGCTTGGTTTTGGCTCGGTGAGTCAGCAAACCTAGCTTTCCCAATTAAGTGTCTGGTGGCACCCCACTCTGCAAGTAAGCCTCCTATCCAAAGTCACTCAGCTTTACTTGCTCTGTGGGCTAGGAAGCCTAGTGCTCTGTCTTGTGCTCTGGTCTTGCTTCTGCTGCTTCTGTCCCTGGGTCCCGGGTGTTCAGTGCACAGGGATCTCTGGATCCAAAGAACAATGCGATCCTCTCCTGACGCTTCTTCTTTGATGGTAGTGAGATTCCCACCTCTTGTTTCTGCGATGGCTCATTTTATACACATTAGAGTTCTAGGTTTTTACAATCGCAATTAACTCTGCTAACCAGCAACTGACTCTTATAATCCTATCAGCGTCATTTCCCACCTTCTTTTAGACCCAGCAAGGTAAAATGTTGTTTGGTGAGAGTTCTAGGTTTTTACAATCACAATTAACTCTGCTAACCAGCAACTGAATCTTATAATCGTATCAGCATCATTTCCCACCTTCTTTTAGACCCAGCAAGGTAAAATGTTCTTTGGTGTGGGAGTTAAAGACTATGGCTAAAAGAGACATTAAATAATTCACTACACTGTACCAACTCTCTGGTTCTTGATGTAGAAGCCCACCATGCTTACATATGCTGCTATTTGTGTTTGTGTTGGTCTCACTGCCTCATTTGGTTGAAATGCCTTAACATTGAGGAAACTTAGCTTAGGAGGTTATGTGTTATCTCCAAATCACTTTGGAGCAATAGGTTTCCAAAAAGTGCAAAATGAAAATTAGGTTTTGCTTCCTTCTCAGCTTCCCAAAGTATCTACAATATGTAGTTTAACAATAAACAAACAAACAAAACTTAATGATAAAGGGAAACAAATCATGAATTTAAGTGAACTTTTTATAAGTTAGAAACTGGTAAAAGGTCTGGCTTCTCCCCAGAAAGCCTTATGAAGTGGAAAACTCTAGAAGCTCTCCTTGTTTTAGACTTCTCACTGCCTCTCAGCATTTCCTCTTTCCCAGTCTCAGGGCCCTTGGACTAGGTGTCTGCCAGGCAGGGGAAGTGCCAACTGTACACTGTAGCCTGGAGTGTAGGGGTGGAAAGAAGGCCAGCCTTTTTAGTTAGTGAGGAAATTCCATTAACTATGTTACTTGGTCCACTCTTAGGGATCTCAGAGGAAGGCTGTTTTGAACGAGGGTTCTGTCTTTAGGATCTATGAGGAGGTTGTTGCTAGTTTAGTCTTGCAAAGGAAACTATCTCGTACTCCCAAGTTGCTCCTAAGTTTGGGGCCTTTTTAAATGAAGTCTGTCACATTGCAGTGTCTCCTTATATGTCTCTTCTTTCTCCAGTAAGCGACTGGATTATGTGAACCACACCAGAAGACTGGCTGAAGATGACTGGACAGGGATGGAGAGTGAGGAGGATGAAGATAAGAAAGATGATGAAGAAATGGACATTGACATTGGCAAGAAATTACCGAAACGCTATGCTAATCAAGTGAGTTGTCCAGAGAAGATTTGGCTCAGCTCGTCTCACTCTCTTTGCAAGTAGTCATAGCCCACCAAAGTCCACGTGACCAGAAAGAGAGGACGAGACAGGGAAAAGCACAGGAACTGCAGAGACAGTGCTGCTGTCTATAAAGATTATGGGATGGTGAGAAGAGATAGCTTTACAATGTGGCATGCTGACTGCTGGTCACCAGTGGAGTGTCTGGGTAGTGGGCTTAGGAGCCTTTACTCTTGGCTTTTATCAAGGCTGTCAGTCCCCTGCTAACGTGCCAAGTCATTGACATTGTTTTAGACTTCGTGTGCTTGTCTATCAGCGTACAGCTGCTCTCGAGTGAGCCTGTCCAGCCCAGCAGCCCCCAAGTTGATGTTGTTTCCCAACTGGTATACTCAGATTCCAGTTCTGGATTTTCTCACTAAGGTGATGGAAGATGGGAATGTAGCTACCCTTGAATAAGGGGAGCCTGGCCAGCCATCCCAGGCCATGAGACAATAGGTCATCATAAGAAACTTGACTAACTGCTCCGTTGGATTCAGAGAGGAAGCCAGTGTGACTTGTGGGAGATGGTCCCGGGCTCTAGGCAGTCCAGACCAAAAGGCAGAAGCAGAGTGTAGGTCGGAATGGGGGCAGGAGACTGTCCTGCTATTATACACGTCTCTCTTTAACTCAAATGTCTTGTCACCTCAGACTCATCTCTCAACTTTAGAATGATGGTTCCTGGGTGCACACCTCTCCACCCCTCTCTGCCCCAAATACAACACAAATAACAGCCACTGAAACAAGGCCCTGCTCTGAAGGCACTCAGCTCTGCTTTAGGGAAGGTATACATGGATAAGAAGCCCTGCATTCCTGGAATATGTGTAGGATGTGATTTGTGCGATAAGGAAGTGAGGTTCCTTCTGATCGATTCCTTCTGTGGAATTGGAATGGCCCATGAAGGAAGAGGCAGCCTTGGAGGTGAGAAGGAGATTAGCAGCAGAGGTGTCCAGCAATGGCAGTCCAGTCCCGACAGCTAGAAGAGGCTGAGCAAGAGATGAGAGGTAGAACAGAAGGAGATGGTGTACAGGCCAGCGAGGCTGGTGTAGCCAAGAGTTAGGGGAAGAGAGAGAAAGGGCTCAAGGGGTGTGCAAGGCTTTGGAGTCTGTTTTCGTTTGTGGGGCACCACTGAGAAATTTGGATCCCAGGACAGTGTGACTTCAAATTTTGATCCCATAACAGTGGGCAAAAGAGGCTGAAAGAGAAAGAGATTGCTGGAAGGAGAAACAGGAAAAGTTAGTTCAGAGTTTGCTGATTCCTGATCTAATGACATTTACAAAAGATAATAAAGATGGACAAGAAAAGAAGTGATGGCTATGAAAAATGTTGCCAGGTAGAATGGACATAAGCTAGCAGTGGACTGGAGAGGGAGGCAGTGTGAGAAAGTGTAAAGCTCTGAGGTCACATAGGCTTAAAAGCCAGGCTATGTGCTGACCTTAAGCTAGTGGCCTAATTACTATAAGGTAATCTCATCTATAAAATGGGAGATAGTAATAGTACCCGAAATCCTGGTGTGGTGCTATAGAATAAATGCTCGACCATTTTGAATTGCAAGGATGGTGGTTCAAACTCACCAGCTGCCCCCCAAAACCCTATACAAGGTCACTATGAGTCAGAACCGACTCCACAGCACTTACAATAACAATTATTGTTGTTATGTGCCGTCGAGTCGGTTCCAACCCATAGTGACCCTGAATAGGGTTTCCGAGGCTGTAAATCTTTACGGGAGCAGAAAACCTCATCTTTCTCCCATGGAGCAGCTGGTAGTTTCGAACTGCTGACCTTGCGGTTTGCAGCCCGATTCGTAACCACTACGCTACCAGAGCGCCTTACAATAACAGTAGTACCTATCTTACAGTACAAGTCTCTATACCACTGAAGGATTAAATAAGACTGTACCTTAAAATATATGTATAGGCTAACTATGAGTCAAAACAAACCCACTACTTTAAATACTTTGCCTGGATACAAGTGGACTTCAAACAGTTCACAGAAAGATGGAATTAAAAGATAATGGAACTTTTCTGTGAACTTTTGGAAGCCCCCTTTTATTTGCTAATACAACGGTCTTATTTTCAAATAGCTGTTGTTATTAAATGCTGACAAGTTGATTCTGACCCATAGGGACTCTGTATAGGGTTTCCAAGGAGCAACTGATGTGTTTGAACCACCAACATTGTAGTTAGCAGTACAGTGCTTAACCTACAGCACCACACCAGGTCGTATTATGTGAGATATACTTCACATGCTATATAATTTACCCATTTTTTTGTTAAGTGCCATTGAGTTGGTTTCAACCAATAGTGACCCTGTATAGAATTTCTGAGGAGCAGCTAGTGAATTTGAACCACCAACGTTGTGGTTCAAACCGACTTTGCAGTCCAGCACATCAACCTAGAGTGCCACACCAGGACTCCATATCCAGTGTACAATTTTGTGCTTTTTTTAGTGTATTAGTCCGGCTGTGCAACCATTGTTGGTATTAGGTGCCATCAAATTGACTCCAATCCATAGCCATCCTACACACAACAGAATGAAACACTGCCTGGTCCTGTGCCATCCTCACGATTCTTACGTTTGTGTCCATTGTTGCAGACATTGTCAGTCCATTTCACTGGGGCTCTTCTTTTTTTTTGCTGACCCTCTACCAAGTATGATGTCATTTTCCAAGGATTGGCCCCTCATGATAATATGTCCAAAGGTTGTGAGATGAAGTCTAGCCATCCTTGCTTCTAAGGAACATTCTAGATGTAGTTCTAAAACAAATTTGTTTGTTCTTCCGGCAATCTTTGGTACTTTCAGTATCTTCACCAACACCATAATTCAAATGTATCGATTCTCTGGTCTTCCTTATTCATGTCCAACTTTCACATGCATATAAGGTAATTGAAAATACTTTGGCATGAGTCAGGTGTACTTAGTCCTCAAACTGATGTCTTTGCTCTTTAACACTTAAAAAGGTCCTTTGCAGTAGATTTGACCAATATATTCTTTGATTTCTTATCTGCTGCGCCCATGATCATTGATTGTGGATCCAAGCAAAATTAAATTCTTGACAGTTTCAATCTTTTCACCATTGATTATTATGTAATTCTCCAGTTATGGAGAATTTTGTTTTCTTTACATTGAGTTGGAAGGCATATTAAAGGCTGTATTCTTTGATAGTCATGAGCAAATGGTCCAAGTCCTCTGTGTTTTCATCAATGAAGGATGTGTAATTTGCATATCACAAGTTGTTGATGAACATTTGTCCAGTCCCTGATGCTGTATTCTTGATCATATAGTCCAGCTTCTCGGATTATTTGCTCAGCATATAGATTGAATAAGTACGGTGAAAGGATATAATCCAGATGCATATCTTTCCTGATTTTAAACCACACTCTAGCCTTTTGTTCTGTTTGATTGATTGCCTCTTGTTCCATTTACAGATTCTGCATGAGTACAGTTAACGATTCTGGAATTCCCTTTCTTTGCAAAGTTGTGCATAATTTAGTATGAGCCACACAGTTGAATGGCTTTGCATAGTCAATAAAACATAAGTAAACATCTTTCTGGTATTCTTGGCTTTCAGCCAAGATCTGTTTAACATCAATGATATCCTTCAATCCTTGTCCTCTTCAAAATCCAACCTGAATTTCTGACTGTTCCCTGTCGATGTGCTGATGCTACCACTTGTGAATTATCTTCAGCAAAATTTTACTTGCATGTGATATTGTTTGATAATTTCCTAATTCTGATGGATCATCTTTCTTTGGAATGGGCACAGATCCAGAGATCTCTAACTACTGGTTGACCAGGTAGCTGTATTCCAAATTTCTTGGTATAGACTAGTTAGTATTTCTAACACTGCATTGGTTTGTTGAAACATTTCAATTATTGTTCCTTTAACTCCTGGAGCTTTGCTTTTGCCAATCCCTTCAGTGAAGGTTATGGAGCTCTGGTAGCATAGTGGTTATGAATCAGGCTGCGAACCTCAAGGTCAGCAGTTCGAAAATACCAGCTGTTCCACGGCAGAAAGATGAGGCTTTCTGCTCCCATGAAGATTTATAGCCTCGGAAACCCTTTATAGGGTCGCTGTGAAGACACATTAACAACCAGGCAGATGATGCAACCTTGCTTGCTGAAAGTGAATTTTTTCTGAAAGTAAAATATTTACTGATGAAGATCAAAGAGCACGCAGCCTTCAGTATGGATTGCATCTCAATGTAAAGAAAACAGAAATCCTCACCACTGGACCAGTAAACAATATTCTTATCAACGGAGTAAAGATTGAAGTTGTCAAGGACTTCATTCTTCTT